CCCACGACCCAGACAGCCCCTGCAGAGCTGATAACAAGCGCTGTGCACCCACCCCTGGCCCTGCTCCGGGGGGTTCCCGGGCCCCTCCCCGAGCTGGGGGTGATGAGGGCAAACAAACCCTGCTCCTCGCTGGGTTTGGGGCCATCTGGGGATTTCTCAGCCCCTCTGGGCTCACCTGGAAGGAGCCACATCCCCGCCCTTCCTATTGCTCTGGAAAGTTCCACAGGTGAGGCTGGAGCCCCACCCCATCCCTGGGATGGAGGATCCCAACAGATAAAGGTGCATGTCTCAAACACTGCCAGCAGGATGGATGTGATGCCAAACAAGGGCTGTTGGCAATAACAGACAAGGATTGTTGGCACTAACACACCGTGAGAAAGAACAAGATGTGGCTGGGGAAGGGGCCATGCAGAGGTAGGGCAGCACCCTCCTGGGACAAACATCCTTGTGGAAGTTCCCGCAGAGAAGCACAGCACAGTGCAAGCACAGGGATGAGGCCAAGAAGTGGGCATGGAACGTAGGGGGGGGATCAAGACCACCAAAGACCCCCAAAGACTCTGACCCATTTCCAGAAAGGCCTGAAAGAATGGACTGTGCATGAGAATTGATGTGCATAGAAAGGGAGAAACCCACCTCCAGGGTGGGCAAACCTGTCCATAAAAAGGTGTCCCCCCAAGCCCAGGCAGTGCTCCAGGACCCTGGACACCCCTGCACACTGGTGGATTGCCTATGAAATCAGGACTGACATCCCATCAGCTGGATCAGTGCTGGAACCAGGACTGGTGATCCCTTCCCTCCTTCCATCCTCTTTAATTCATCTCTTCCTTTCTCTCTTCCCTTTCCCCCTACCCCTTTGTCCAAACCCCTCTGCCATGTGCTTCCAGGTCAGGGACTCACACACCAATTTCCACCCAAGTGTGTCATTTACTAATAAAACTTCCTGATTGTTTGTGGACCCTCAGCCTTTTGTCGTTCCTTTTGGCCACGAGCATTTACAAACCCACAGCGCCGGGAGCCGGAGGGCGGCACCGGACAGCAGGAGTCAGTGCCTGGAGCAGGCACATCCCAGGGCTGTGGCCAACACCAACCATCCACTTTGCTACCTATGGAGCGACCAAAATATGAAAAAAAAAAATCGCTCACATGTGGGATCCATTAGGGCATTTCGAAGGAATTCACGTTCATTGTTTCCCTTGAAATATAAAGGTTATAAAACTTAACGGCCACATGACAAGGAAACTATATGAAACACTCGGAGATTTACAGAGCGACTGCTCGGCTCTCGGGGCTGGAAATCACCGTGCAACAGTCAACACGACCTGTGGGCTGAGGGCTGAGATTTTGGGCAGTTTTCCTTTTTTTCCTTCCCCTCTTTTTCTGACCTTGCGGGCCGCTATCGCCGCAGCAGCTCCGCAGCCAAACAGAAACACAGCTTGTATCTTCTTTCAAGTATTTATTTCTTTTGCCCTGTTAACATCAAGCAATGAAAGGAATTGTAAGGATTTTGAAGGGGGGTGGGGGGGATAAAAGGAATGAAAGCAGGAGAAAGGAAAAAAAAAAATAGGACATAATGGCTTAATTTCTCACAGCATGTGCAGCACAAATGAACAGTAAACACGTCCCAGGGAAAAATGCAAACAAAGGCCACGTTTGCTCAAAGTTCCAAGAAAAAAGCCCATCGTGAGTGCCCCCGAGCAAACATTTCTGTGATTAAACCCTCAGAGCCTCTGTGTGATTTCTAGGCCAATTCAGCACAGCAGGTACCTCCCCCTTCCCTCCCGAACATCCCTGGGCAGGAGCAGCCACAGGGCCGGGTTTCCAAGCCTTGTTTTGGCTTAAGGCATGGAAATGTTGCAATTATGGCACTAAGAGGAAGCTGTAATCTAATCTAATGGGTCAAGGACAAGTGTGAAAATCTGATTATAGATTTGCAACCAGGGTTTGTCTATACAGAGTGAAATAATTAATCAGATTTGTGGGCAAATACTGTATTTCACAGTGATTTCTGACCTGGATCTCAGCAGCCCCAGGCAGGCCAGGAGCTCATCATATGGGCTGTCATCATGCACAGGATTTTGGGTGGCCCTAAGGGCTGTATCATCAGTGAAATCATAAATTGTCTCATTGTGTGACACCAGGCAAGACTGTACAATTTTCTGTGTCACCCTTCCTGTGTCTGTAACAAATGGAACTGCTCTGGCAGGGGCAGGTTTGCACAGGTGAAAGTAAAATACTGTGCTGGCAGTTTTAATATATATGAGTTTCAGATCTGTTCTCCAAAGCAGTGGAGAGGGAGAACGTGAACATCAGGTGAACTGAATTACTGAATTCGGCAGCAGCTCAGCCTTCCTGCTAATGCACTTGTGTTCTCTGCACACTCAGGAATTCTGCTTATTCTGCATTTGTTCACTTCCCAAAGTTCAGTGGCAGCACAACTCTAGTCTGCTCGTGGGTTTTGTTTTTTAAAATGAACTAGAGGTGAGCGTGCACAAATGCAAAAAAATCATCATGCCATTCCCCTTGTGTGGAATTATGCCATGCCCCTGATGTCAGGAGGTCACTTTTATTTCAATGAACTATTTCCAGGATTTCCAGCGTGATTATTTTGCCCCTGATGATCTGAGGCTGAAAGAAACAAAACCAAACTGTGAGAATTTTTCTGCTATAAGTAAAGGCAAACGCACTTTTGACAGTGTCCCAAGTTAGTTTTTTTTTCCCCCTTGAAAATGTCTTTAGGCACGTTTTTGATCACAGGATTGGAATATGTCATGAGAACGCACTCAAATATGCGTTTGCATTAACACTGCTGCCAGAAGCCATCTCACAGCCATCACCAGACATACTGGAGCCCCTAGAAAGCTTTCTGTGGGATTGGAAGGCATCCAGCCAGGGGAAAGCAAAGCCACCATGTGATGTGGATGGCCAGTTCCACAGGAAAACTATACATTAATGAGTGGCAAGAGCTCAAAGCGGGAGTTACAGTGAATAGCTCACGAGCAAATCACTGCTCGAGAACCACCAAGTACATAAAGTGTTTGATAAATGAAAATCTGAAAGGAGTCTATGGAAAAATAATCCACTGAAAGAAAGCAGGCTGATTTTCCAGCAGGAATTGCCCGTGTCAAGCAGCACTGCTGGCTGTAATGAAGGTCTCTGGAATGTGAGTTGCTCATCCAGCCTCAAAGCACATCCAAGAGGATGTACTTTAGACTGCAAAAGGGCACTTCGAGGTATCATTAAAATAATCTGTTTTAATATTTCTGAGTGGTAAAGGCAAACAGCAGTGTTGATTATTGGGGCTTGCACCATATTTCTATTTTTCAACAGATGACTTTCACCTTATATTCCCCCTTAACCATCAAGTGAAGTTCTGGCCACCCACTCCCTACCAGTCCTTCCCAGTTCAAATTCAGATGCCGTGGGTGTTAAACAGAATATGCAGCTCTGAACTCGTTAGGCAGCAGTAACAGCTCTCTGGGGTTTTGCTACACTTCAGGCTTCAAAGGAAGGCAATGTGAAGCTATTCAGGGCAGTTTGCAGAGTTAATGTCTGAGAAGGTGTGGACACAGGCAGGCACAGGTGAGAGAACGCCTGGAGGGAGGGCGCAGAGATGAACAATGTGCAGGCACAGCATTCTGGCTCAGAAACTCCCCAAACACAGTCCTCTCCAACGGGAACAATTGGAAGAGACAGATGAAATGATGAAAAATGAAGGGATCAGCAGAAATCAGACCTAATATAAACCCAACTAAAATAAACTCAGCACGGCTCCTGTGGCTCATTCAAAAGCAGCTCCTCTCCGAGAGTTCATTTGCAAGAACTTGGGTCAGGAGAAAGATGGAACAGAACTTCCTCTGCTCTGTGCCTGTAGGAGCCATTGGCTCTGACTGGCAACAGGAGGAGGTTTTTAAAGGGAAATGCTGAACACTGCAACTCTACCTACTCCATTGCATCAGAGGAAATGTGGCATCTCCTGCCAGAAAGTGTCACTGCTCCTAAATCCCGGGCTTGAGAGTTCAAAAGAATTAAGATTAGTTTCCTGACTGATGTAGGGAGTCAGAGCTGTGAATGCTTGTCTGAATTCAACCCAAATGATGGGTTTTACACAGGAAAACTTATAATTGTGTAATTTGTTTGAACAGGGATGTATCAGGAAACCTATTTTTTAAACTGGAATGAAGATGCATTGACTGTGTGTGTTTAAAACAATCAGAGTGAGGTCAGAAGGATGTTGGAAGCAGAACATTCTATTGAATGGTTGAACTGAGCTGTTTGTAAATGATTTATGTGCTTTTTAATGCATGTAGAAACTTTTGCATGTCAACACTGGTTTTTTTTTATATTACTGTTCTCTGTTTCATTTTCAGATCCCTCCTAAAGAAATTCAAGGCTATATTTGATCATCTGATTAACATGCTAAACCTCAGCTAGAACAACAGGACAACAGAGAAGCTGAATGTGGTTTAGGGTTCAAAAGGGTTATAACAGTTGATGTGGGTGAAAGTTTTTTGGCTATAGCAGATGAGAAACGTGTCAGATCACTACTACTGAATATTCCAGAATATTGGAAGTTACACACTATTCAGTCACTGAGGCACATGTGACAGTGCTTGCTGGTGTCTCTCTCCACTTTTGCATAGCCCTTAGAATGGGAATAAAATACTGCCTGGCTCCACAAGTGTTCTCCATGAATTTGCAGCCCTGATGGGAGTCCAGAAGAGAACACAAGGTATTCTACTTCTGGGAAGGAGAAGGACAAGCAAAAGCTCACAGACTGATGTGTGATTCTGTTTAATCCCATGAGTGAATTGAGTCAATCATGTTCTTCCAAATTTATTATTATTATTGACAAGAGGAGATGTGGCCTGAGGCCTCAAGGAATCAGGTGGGAAACGCTGTGGCTTCTTCCTGGTACCTGAGACTCCTCCATTCTCTAAGGCTGACAGTGACACAAAGAGTTGCCTTGTTCTCTGATGGATGGTTTCGTTGTTTTTTTGGTTTTTGGTTTTGTTTTTTTTTTTTTTGAGAAGCACCTCTTTTCCTACATTTAACAATTGAGAGAGCAGAGACAGAGAGCAGAGACAATGAGCTTGTCACCTCTGCTGCTCCCTGGAATAGGCAGAGTTGCAGGGAGTGAACTGACTCCCCTGTGCCCTGTCTGCAGGGAATCAGCATTCCCAGCAGGCTCTGGGAACAGGAACTCTGTGTTCAGATATCACTTGCTTTCCATAGGGGCCATTTCCATCTCCAGATAACATTCTTCTGAGATGAGCCCTTTTCATTATAAACCCTTGTTCCATATGACAGCATTTTGCATATAGCCAAAATATCCCCAAAACTGTATCACCCTGCACTTATTTCACTAGTCTCTCTGCATAAAGGCACTAACAGGTGACTTTCCTGGGAAAGATAGCAAGGAATTGCCTCCTTATCTTACAGCTGATGTTAACACTGCCATGTGCCAGCCCAGTATCTGGGAACACTGATGAGATCAAGAATGATGCCCAAGGCAGGAGGGCAGCTGGTGGCTACACCCCAAAGTATTCTTTTCATTGTAATTTGATTATCACAGGCAGGGAAACTTAATGTCTAGGATGCCTGTCTATGAAAAGCCTGTAAAATACACAGGCAACTCACTCAGAAAAATAAAAATCAAATCTTAAAAATGCTTCTGATTAAGAAAAAAAATAGAAAACAGAACCATTTCTACCTAGTAGCACCAGGTCAGGACAATTATTAACACAAGCCAGAGAACTACATGTCCTTGTAAAATCAGGGCATGATGGATGGCCCTTGCAGCTGGTTAGGAAAAAGTGAGTGGTGAGTCAAAGTGACCCTTCCTTGTTTTTACATGTTTGGGCTGCTTTCCCTCCCTCAAAAAAAACCCAAGAGACAGCCACCAGGAACCAGTGTATTGGGGTGTTCTGAGCCAGCAAGGCACAAAGGGAATGGTCTGCTTTTTAGGGCATGGTGACCCCTTGGAATGAGCAGCAGTAACAACACACTTCTTTTATAGGCCCTGCAGTTGGATGGAAATCACACGCCCCTATTATTATGTAACTTCAGGAATGTAAGGTGGCGTCTCCCTGTTTAGGGCCATCTCACTCCCCCTGAGATTGCATCTATCCTCTGTTTTGTTTTCTCATATACTTACTCTTCATCACTCCCCAGCTCCAGTTAGAGTGCTTTCTTCCCTCATTTAAGGAGGAATTGTTCCTTTCTAGATTTACGCTTAAAAAATCAGCACATGTATTTGCCTTGATTGTTTTTCTGCATTAATATGTCACACTGCCCAGAGCAAAGGTGAGCCTAAGAACTAGTAATTTTGGACTCTTTGGGAAGGTGTGAAGATGTAAATTGTCTCCTCAGAGGTCTGTGATTTTCAGCTGTATCCAGTCCAGGCAGGCTGGGTCTGTTTGTGTTTCTGTTCCAAGAACAAGAGAGGGTGTTATGTTTAAAGGAAAGCTGACAGGAACAGGGGGAACTCGCTGCCTTCCATGGTACAGGGGACATTCAGGTTGTGTCCTGTGTCTCCCATCCATGGTCTGCAGGCTGGGGCAGCTCCACCAGAACAGACTCTGGTCTCATCTCACACGTTCCCTGCTGATCTGACTCCTCGAGCTGACAGACAGGGTTGTTTGTGTTGAAGCTGACAGCTCCCTGAAGGGACTGAAGAAAGGTGCTGAGGTGACTTCAGTAGAATAAAGGGTGGGAAGGGGGGCAAGAAGTGTCTGAACTGCCAGCTTCCCACAGGAAACACTGGATAAAAGACAATGAGCAGCAAGGGAGAAGGTGAAGTTCTGTTTTTCCTCATGTTACTGAATCTGTGGCTGCCACTACTCACAACATCTCCTTCAGAAAGGCACTTGGACAAAGAGGATCCTGTTCCCTAGAGAGTGGAACTGCTGCTGGTGACTGACAGGTTTGCTCAGTCTCCAAACACACCAGGCTGGAGGATCTCAGTGCCGGGGAGGTGAGAGCTACAAACAGTGCAGAATATTCTGTTCCTCAGGGCTGGTGGTTGTTTGGCCAAAAATGCAAAAGACTGCATTTGACAGGATCTTGCCTTACCCCAAACTTAGGAACAAGTGCTGTCAAAAAAGTGGCTGTTGCCCAGATTAAGTTTATTAAAGCCACGTGAAGAAATAAAACCAAAGGAGCTGATCCAAGGTCACCCTGTGCTCTTCCCTCAACAGTTGCATTTCAGCTCGAGGAAAGCACCAGGCCACGTTAATGTCTGCTACAGGCACATGTGTTCTCTTTGAAATAAATGCACCCACTTCTGCTCTGCCTGCATTAAGTCTGTTACTGGGTTTTTATGAGCCTTGGCAAGTGCAGTGCTATCTGTTAATATCTGAAGGTGGGAGTGTTCAGGGAGTTGTCGGAAAGGCTTGCAAGACTAGATCTGATCATACCCACCCACACTAATTAACACATTACATAAAAGTACAACAAGTTTCTCTTTGCAAACATCAGAATCACTTGCCCAGGCACTTTCTGTGCAGTTCTAGAAGAACTAGAGGGATGGACTCTGTTGCTTTTTAACCTCGACAGAACAATGGATGAGTGGGTAGGGTGAAGTTCCCACTTTCAGGGCTCGCTCCTTTTTCTCATCCTGCTAAAAACATGCCATCAGCAGGAATATGGCTGGAAGGACCTTTTTAAAGTTCACCAGTGGTGCATGAGGCTGCATTTTTTTTCTCATCAAAAACCACCACATGAAATATTGAACATGAGGGATCGGATTCCCTCACAAAGGACTCCTCCTCTCCCTGCCCTGCCTTGCTAATTCTGAAAATTACTTTGTATAAACACCACCCTCTGAAACCACCTGGAACTGAAAAATCCTCCCATTTAAATAGGGCCTTTTTATGTCAGGGGAGCATGTCCCAAAACAGCTCACATTTCTCTAGCATTCAAATATTAAACCAGCAGCAATCTGCTGTACAAAGGCGATAGGAAGGACCCTTTTATTTCTTCGTAGTTTGGAGCAAGTCAAACTAATTTCCTATGAAACTGCTGTGACCTTCTCCTACAGCTTCACCCAGATAATAAACGTGCACCCCGATCCCGATTTACTCCAGACTCTTGGATGACATCTGGCCTCAAGATGGTGGCATGGAAAAGTGCAGCAATGACACAGGAAAACAGAAGGGAAGAAAATAACTGTGGAGAGCAGGAGGCAGTGCAGGGAGAGGGGAAAACCAAAATTAAAATAAGTCAAAGGGCGGAAATTCCTTTGAGAAGGCCTTAGGCTCCAACAAAGCTTGTCCACATTTGCAGCACTTCGGGATTACCCAACACTAACCTTATGTGGAAGGGACAGCAGAGCCCAGCAGGCATTCCAGAGGAGCCTTTCTATTAAAAAAAACCTCTTCCAGTGCATCCATCCCTGTTTGCCAGCGAGAGCTTCCTACCTCGCAACGCTCCCAAGGGAAGGCACGAACTTCCCCAGCTCTTCCTGGCTATCTGAAAAGCAAAGTCAATGTTTTCCTCATTATTCCCTGTTTGCTGCATACCTCTCCCCCCACTGTGACTGCTATTTGACCCGCTGGCCGCTCCGGGACCCTGAGGGGAGAGAGAGAGGGAAGTTTGTGTGTGTGGGGATGAGAGGAGCGAGATGATGAGTCTCAGCTCCCTTCTGACTTGTTTATGTTCATTAGAAAGAAATCAACAGCACTGAGTGTGTCAGACAGACCCCGAAGATTGGGAACATCTTTTGTGTGGTGCAGGGAAAGAGCAGACCCATCCACGGGACAGGATTCGGGGGTGAACGGGGATTCCAATGTGTGTTTTTACCTCACTTTCGCATTAGGAATTTACCAGTGAGCAGAATCTCAGCAGAGAGGTTTCATTTCAGGGGGGCACTGCTCTTTCACCAGGGCTATTTGCTCTTACAGCCACAAGCCTGGAACGCCTGACCCCCGGGATTACTGAGGAACTGGAAAGGATCAGAGTGCACCAGGGGAGGTTGGAATCATCATCCCCTCCCCTCCCAAGCCTCTCTGGATAAATCTGGTACCTTCAGATCCCAGAAGGGTTCTCCCCTCATGGCACTTGTGTTTTCAATGAACTGAGTTCCTTCTCAAAAAACTCACAAAAATAAAGCTGAAAGCAACTATTGAGGTGGGCCTCAAAACCACAGAGTTTCTTTTCATCCTCTCCAGAGAGCCTCAGACATCCAGGAATTCCAAAGAAAACTGCAATGTAAGAAACCTGTTCAGAGCTGGCACAGTGCTACAGCTCTGCACTGACCCAGGCAGAGGGACCTGCACCAGTGGCACTTCTGGCAGCATCTTCCTCTAGAACTGCTCCAGAAGAGAGAAATCTGCTGGTCTGCAGCGAGTTCAGACCTTCTGATTTCAACATTCCCACCTTGGCACCTCAGCAGTCTCCATTCTACATGGCAGGACCAAAGGAATATTTCAAATACAGCTCACAGCTTTTCTGCTGTAACTCAGATCTCTTTTAGGAAATGATATATTTTGGCATATGGTTTTTTTCCTTGTCTAAATTTTCGTATAGAACCTCTTGGTTCGTGAACAAATACTGCTTTTCCTTTCTGTAGCATGTTGCATTTGAATTTGCTGAGCTTTTGACAGACATTTAGGTAGCTAAACTTTCAACTTTTGAGGTAGGGAAACACTAGAAATATCTGCTTTGCAGGTCAGGGTGCTCCTTCAGATGATGCATTTTGCCTCAGGTCACACAGGACATCTATGGAAAAGCTCGAAATTCGAGTCAGGAGCCCTAAATTCACTCCTTTAATCACATGTCCTTCCTTGAGGCGCTTCATTCAGGTGTCTCCAGTTAGGCTTGCTATTTTCCTGCCCTGCAATTCCATTAATTCCTCTGTTAGCAGTGTTCCAGTATGTTCTCACCAGGTTCCTATGCCTGGTGCTGCATCTGGCACAGGAATGTTGCCCTTCCGAGGCTGTCACAGAGAATATATCATTACAAAAATAAATAGTGTCTGGCTGCTCTGGCATCTCAGTCCAAGCATATTTATCACTTTTGGCTGATCAGTGCCTGATTCAATGCCCCTAAAACACAATGGGTAAATTCCCAGTTGAATTCAACGTGCATTTAATCAGGTCTTTGCTAACTGTGCTTCCAAACTTCACTTTCATGAGCTCTACAGTACAGTCTCTTCTATTTTTAGAGCATTATTCCACCTCACTGTGCAGACTGATACAATGGATTTTCCTCTGCATGGATTATGTCAGTGAATGTGTGTTTGTACAAGAAGGCTCTAGTTTTAGTTCTAGATTTAGTTCATCCCCATGTGCTGCTGCCTACATGTGTGGCAACCTGAGATTAATGCTAAAAATGTATTTATAGTCGATCACAAATGAACAAAAAAATTCAGAACGACAAATTTCATGTATGAGTTCAGTGACAGAAAGAATCTTCCACTATTTGAACTGCTCTGCTGCCTGAGCCTTCCTGTCCAGCCTCCACAGGTGAAGTACAACAGCTTTTTTTGGGCCCAGCTCAGTCCCTCCAGACAGAAGTCCTGGGTGGCCTTTAGCAAAGAAAACACTGCTCCAAGGTTTGCTCCTTCCCCAGTGTATGCTGGGAACAGCTTCATCATGGAATGGAAAGTGAAGGAAGGGATGGAAAGCAAAGGAAGGGAGAGAAACTTCCATTAAATGTCCATAACTTTTAGTTCCTCAAAGCACTTTTTCAGTTCCCCTTTCGAAAAGCAGAAATGAAACCAGCGGCACTTCCTCTGAAGAGAGGGGACAAAGTGTGTTTGGGATGGGAAGTGCTGCCTCTCCACTGGGACAGCCCACAGACACTTCAGAAACAAAAATTACATCTTAAAACTATGAGTAGATTTAACAATTGAACTCTAAAGAATTAAACATCACAGAAACATTTCGCGCGTTTCGTTTTTTTTTCCTTTCCAAGGGTCCGCAGTCCAGTCCCTCAATCCTGTGCAAAGGTCACGTTACTATGGATATGACCTGCAAGAAATGCGTTGCCTCAGAGCAGCACAAGTCACATGAACAGGCTAAAAGCCAAGGCTGCTGATTGCCAGTCCTGTCAGGGGTTTCGTGCTCCTGTGGGGCTCTCTGAGGAACAGTCCCTGTGCCATCAGCTCTATGTTCTTCCTTTAAAAGTGTTCATGCAGGTGTAGCTCCCGGAAAACTTGTGGATTTCTTCAAGTGCTGCCTGGGGGAGAATGCTGGAAGAGAAGCAGGAAGAGAAGAAGCAGATGAGACAAACCCCTCAGCCTGCCCTAATGAGAGATGTGTAAATATGCATTTACATATATAAATACACACATTCTCAAACATCAGCTGGTGAGAGCACACAGACCCAACAGGCCTCAGTGTCCCGCTGTGAGGAGGCCTGAGAGGGAGAAAGTTCCATCCAGTTACTCCTTCTCTGCAGAAATATTTGTCCAAAAAAGTCTTGTAAAAGCTGTAACTTGGAAGATACCATCATGTTTTATTCCTCTCAAACACTGTTCTCTGAAACACACAAACTTAACCTGCGTTCTCTGGTTAACTTGCCACCTGGTTGTGCAAAACATGTGGCCTCCTTATCCTAAGGTATGGACAGAGATCTAATTTCCTGACAGCTACTGGAACGGAAAATGAATGATTAATTCTTACAGTAAAGGAGAACAGCCCTTTTTCTTGTTGGTAGAATTTCTGGGAATTTTTATCCCAAGTTTTTCGTTCAGAGCAAAGCATTTATTGTGACTTATTTTTTCTTGTTTGAAATGCAATACTGGAATTATTTTCCACAGAAATCCCACGGCCTTGTTTCAGTTCCTGACTGAAGCAGCTTTTCCAAAGGCTTTAGTGCAAACTGTCATGGAAACACAGTGCTAAATGTCCTTTCTCTTTGGTTGTTTCAGGATATGAAGTTATGACTTTTTTTTCCTTAGGGATCTTAAAATTCCCGTCCTAATCATACACAAAAATATTGGTTTAATAGTTTCACTGCTGTAACACAAGCAATGCTCTCTCCATACAGCTGTGATGTACAGACCTTATGGCACAGAAATCCTGTACAATATGAAGCCCAGAGTCCAACGAGTCACTTACTAAATCAAAACTCACCACATGTGTATGTTAAGAAACTTCCTAGACACAAATCCAGCTCAGACCTCAGAAATCCAAATTTTGGGAGTGAAACTTGTTTCATAAAGGGATTATACCCAGGGAAAGCATCTCCAAAGGGAATCTCAGAAAGTGTCTCCCTTTTGCTCCTGTTGCTCTGTCTGTCAAGGGAAGGGATGATCCATCTGATCCCAGATGGCACTTACAGTCAGCCTGAGGTTTGCCTCCTGGACAGACAAGAGGAAACCTTCCCTGCCTGGCCAGGCTGTTGCTGGGCAAAGGAAATACTCACCTTTTTAGGATGACAAGAACATGCATTGTCCATGGAAGGAGCAGGAAGGCTTGGTTTGTCTGAACAGCTTCTACCGTCCTCCTCGCCACTGTCTCGGGCTTGAGGGGAGGAAAAAGGCTGGGGAACCTGAATAAATAAAGTAAAAATTAAAATAATTACTTGTTAATCAAACTCCTCCTTTAAGATATCACTGTCCAAGTCCTGTTACTCCAAACTATCTCTTGTTACTGGCCTTCAAACACGTCCCAAGCAGGCTGGAAAAGGCAGAACGTTCCAGTTCCAGCCAAAAAGCCTGAAAACAGAAAGCCCAGTTCCAACCAGTACTGCTGGGTTACCTAAACAGTTAAGAATGTACATGTTGGTGCCTTCAGGGAGAGTGGCAGAATGTATTCAGAGCCTTGATTCAGGGCTTTTCTTAATTTGAATGCAAACCAATACCAAATGCTGTCTTTTCAGTGCTGGTGTTTTTCCTTTTGTTGCTCTTTGCTTAATTCAAATTCTTGACAGGTGAAAGACAAATATTTTCCTCCATTGCTTTTAATACCAAACATAAGGCTTTTCCCAGCTCCAGCAATAGCTTGACACTGCATATTTTCTTGACTAAGAGAGCACAAACTATAGGTTATTTTGTCCATTGTAAAAGATTAATTTGGTCAGCCATTAGTTGTTCTCTTGAACAGAGGGAAAAAGGAGGCACTGATGGCCTCACTTCAGTAAAGTGGCTGTCATTCCTTTCAGTGGGAAAGAATTATTTCAAGGAATAAAGAAGGAACTTGTACTGTTAATTCTCAAGTAATTTGTAGACTGCTCCTCTTGCATGACCTCAATTGCAGATTCCCTCCCCTCCCTCTCTGGGGGCTGCACAGGGAAAAACAGCTTTATTTCTCCCTGTAGAATCCAATGTCTCCCTCAGAACAGGCTGGAGGATTATTCCAGCACACTGAGGGAACCAGTCTGATGAGTCCCAGGTGGCCTAGAGTGACCCTCTGTTCCCAGGCAGCCAAATGAGACATCGAATTCTCTTAACTAAATGAAGCATTAATTAGGAGTGTATTCTGATGATTCATTTAAAATGAGATGCTTTATTCTAGTTCCCCTGGACTGACCTGATTCTCATGCCCTGGAACATCTCTGTGCTGGTGTGGAAGGGCAGCACTGTTGTGGCATTCACTCCAGGACAGTCCAGCAGCCCCAGGGTCAGGCTCTCCATAAAGGCAAAGGAGGAGGCTTTGGAGGTGCAATAGTCAATGGCACCAGGGATGGCTGACAAGGCCAGGACAGAGTTCAGGCAGACAATGTGTCCATTCTGCAGCTCCAGCATCCTTGGCAGGAATGCCTTGGTGGTCTGGAGAACAACAGAGTTAAAAGAAAGGAAAAAAAAAAAAAAAGAAAAAAAAGGTCTGTTCAGCAGAGATACAACAAAACAATAGTTACTGAAGAAGATAAGATGACACGGAGACAGAGCCAAAGTGTTCTGTTCATTATGCTGGGAAAGGAGTGGGACAGGACCTTGTTGCTTTGTCATTTTCTGAGAGATTCCAAGCAGGCAAAGTTTGTGTGGAAACACAACAGAATCTTTCCTAGCATGTAAATAAGCAGCACCCACAGATAAGGGCCAGGAAGGAGTGCTTACGAACTTGTACAGGATAAAGTCTTCAGCAAAGTGATGAAATCACAAAAAGCTCTTTTTTTCACTTCTATTGCCCAATTCAAAATAGAATGAGCTCCCTGAGCAATGTACTCCCATGCTCCTCTGATGTTCCCCATACAGCACCATACAGAAAACCATCCTGTGAGCTCAGGCTTTCTCAAAAGACATCAAATGTTTTACTGGAAATGACAGAATGGGAATAAAGAGCATCACATATTGAGTTACTACTGGAAAAATCATATTTATTTTAGACCCTGTTCCTCTGGCCTTTGCCCCTCATATTGTTTTTTCCCCTCTTGTTTTTGTGACAGACTGATTTTAGGAAGACCTAAGGGCAGCCATTTCTGGCTGTAATCTGTCACTCTCTTCCCAGTTGTGAGTACAGGGGATACAAGAGCTGATCTTACCCAGAACTGTCCCAGGGTGTTGATGTGCTGGGATTTGAGCAGTGCATCATCATCACTGTCCATCAGGCTCTTCCCATGGACCACAGCAGCATTGTTCACCAGGATGGTGATGTCACCCACCTGCAGGAACAGCAAATTACTTGTGACAAGGAACATCTCACAAATCAGGCATCAGAGTGACCATTAGAGCTGAATAGCCATTGTGGCCTGAATATATTGTTGTTTTCATAGCTTTTGACATTCTTGCCTTGTAAGCCTTTGGATCACTTCAAACTTTGTACAACAATGTGGATGGTCACCCTTCTTTCTTCCCCAATATTTTTTTCCCCTCATCAAATATAGATTAGTAGAATCACAGAATCATTAAGGTTGGAAAAGACCTTTAGGATCATCAAGTCCAACAAGCAACCCAGCACCACCACCCTGTTCACCATTAAACCATGTCCTCAGGTGCCACATCCCCATGTTTCTGAACACTCCCAGGGATGGTGCCTCCACCCCTTCCCTGGGCGGCCCCTACCAGGGCTTTACAAGCTTAATCCTTCCATGTAGGAGTTCTCTCCCATATCCAACCTAAACCTCCCTTGGTGCAACTTGAGGCCATTTCTTCTCGTCCTGTCACTGTTCCCTGGGAGCAGAGCCCTCCCTGGATCCCCCCTCCTGTCAGGGAGTTGCAGAGAGTGAGAAGGTCCCCCCTGAGCCTCCTTTTTTCCAGTCTGAGCCCCCCCAGCTCCCTCAGCTGCTCCTTTCCCATCCTGCCCACGGGGTTTCCCCACTGACCTTCTCCCTGACGGCCTTGGCCTGCCGATAGACCTCCTCCCTGTTCCCCACGTCGCAGATGAAATAGTGGCACTCTGTGCCCATCAGCCTGATCTCCTCCGTGGTCTCCTTCAGGCACTTCTCAGTCCGACCCCACAGGATGATCTGCAGCAAGAAACTTTTATTGTTAGAGTCGGACTGCTCCTGCTTCAAATCCGGAATAATCAAAACCTGCTTCTGACTTCAACAGTCCGATGAAAACCTCTGATGTGTTTTCGCTGTAGTTTTGCTTCATTTAAGACTAGCAATGATTTTCTGTTCCATGGGGAAGGGACATGGGTGTCTCAGTGGTTCCTGCATCCCACTGCTGATCCTCTTTTTACAGGTTCTTCACAAGCCACATGAGCTAACACAAAAGATCTTTAGCCTAAAATGACCAATATATGAAACACCTGGCAAATTTTCTGTATCATGTAATTTATAATCTGTCCCTGCTTTTGCTATGCACACATACAGAAATATAAATTCAGTCCAAAATCACAGACCTTCCTGTATATCTGGTGTGTTCTCTATTTGTTCTACGTTTGGTGCAGTAAAACATATTTTTTCAGCCTATTATATGTAATAACTTGCAGTGCTGATTTCAGGTTGGTGTCCCAGGTGCATTTTAAACTAAAGTGTTCATCCTAATACAGACTTTTAAAGGGAGAATTCTCAGGCATGAATTTATTTTGCTCATATATGCAAGGTTTCACCTGCCACTCGCTTTTAACACAGCAAAAATGATACCCTGCTTCTGGTACAAAGGAAATTCTGAATATTCATGGAACAAACATTCAAACCATGGAGCAGGGATTTGATGTATAATGAGACGTAACCAGCCCAGCCCATCTGCATTTCTACACCATCAGAGAGGTCAGAAATAGAAATAACTTGAAAAGTCATTAAAAATCATGGGGTTTTATCCAGTCTCATTTTTCCTAGTGAGACATCAGTCTCAAGTATGAGATTGTGCTTTCACCACTGTCTTTCAAACATTAACCTGCAGTAAACAGATTCAACCACAATACTTTTTTTCTATTTCTTTTAAGGCTACTGGAAGGTATAATTTCATCTCTCTGTTACCTAAGACTCCTATATATAAATCAATCTATCATTTTTGCTCTTCAACTAAGTCTTCTGAGCATTCATCACATTATGAATGGTGTCACTGTCATTCTGCAAAACTTAAATTAGTGAATTGAATATGTTCATCAGCTGATTGTTCTGTGGCTCCAACAGCAAGATCCAAAAGAGAAAAAAGAAAAGGTTGTTACATTGCAAATGCAAAATTATTGCTATTTCCAAGCATATGTGATCCAGTTGATTCTCTCACTGCTGTGTATTGAATATGAACCTGATATATTGTTTTTTAATGATTAAAAATAAGCCCACTTAAACTTTAAAGATTAAATAATCTTTTGAGTTTTCTGAGAGTTGAAAGAACAGGAAGCAAAAAGTCTAAATTACATCACTACTCATAACTCAACCCCTGCAATTAACTTCATAACAGCAAGATAAACAGAAAAAATTAGTTATTATGTATGCAGTATTCCTTCCCCACAGCAAACCCCTTGCAGAGCTTAACATGCTTATTTTTAAGGACTAGTTAAGCTTATCTCATAACTGGTACTAAAACTAATCTCTGGCAGGGTCAAAGAGCTCTTCCTGTGCCTAAGCAAGGCTAAAATGCAGAGGTACCCAAGTCCTCAGCCATTTCCTAAACGAGCTACAGTTACAATTAATCCCATTTCTAAGCCATTGGCACATCTGTGAACACAAACACACCCGGACTGATGGATTTATATCCCACAAACTCTCCAACTGGCTGGTTAACCAGCAACTTCAGAGCGTGCATAAATATGCCAGAGCCATTTCGTGGGAAATCTTATCTCAGGGGAAGTAATTTTCAAGGCAAAAGCTGTGATCAGACTCTCAAAGCGGAGGGAAGCACATGGCTGAAACTGCAGCTCGGCCTCGAAAGCCTCAGTGTATCACCCTTGGCCATCAGGGCTTGGCATCTACACAAAGCTTGTAAAACTCATGGCTATTTACTCACTTCTGAACTCAGGGCTAGACTGAGGGATATTTTTTATGCACACTCTGCAGACTTGCAGAAGGGAAATCAAGAACATGTGAGAAATTTCACAAGCTTTCAGGAAATCTTTACAAAATACTGTTCAACTATCAGCACGGGGGCACTTGCTGCCTCTTTCACAATCTACAGCTCTGTGGAAAGGGGAGAAAAAAACCACTGCAGAGGTCAACTGTAAACATCAAGTTTGATGCCCACAGGGTTTGTATCAGGGTGACCTTCAGCCCCTTTGCAGGGCTGGATCAGTCAATGGAGACACTAAAAAATTAAGTGATTCACTGAAGAGTGATGGAAGGGAAAAAGAAAAGGGGAAGAGAAATAAGGTGTCAGATGAGGGGAGTAAGGCAAGAAACTGCCCTCACATCCCCAGCACTCCAGGGCTTCACACTGCTATTGCAAAATGAAAAGTAGATCCCTCACTCTTCTCTTTAATCTGTTTCAAACATCCTCAGAGCCTCCTACTCCCAAGAGCTGCCACTGATGCATTGGATGTCAGGAAATGTACATGGAAGAATAGTTAAGCAAAGGATGACCTGTCAAAAAACATCTGTCTGTGATGCAACTCTTGGATATAATATTTTTTTATGCCCCAGCAGTTTCTTTGGGACCCTTAATATCCTCCAGGCAAGTCTTGCAAGGTGACCCCGTTAAAATCTGGGCCATCTGGGGAAGGCAGAATTTGCTGGTTATCCTGCTGACAACATTAATTTCAGCACTGATTTTCTTCCATGGGAAGTTTTCGTGTCCCTGATACCGTTCACACTTAGGTGAAGGCTCCAGCCTGCACAAGAGAAAAGCAGTAAATAAAAGACCATTCTTCCGTGAGAGGTGAAAGTTCCCCGATGACCCAGTGGGAAGTGAGGGCTCCTGCTGTCGTTTCTGCTACTTTTTACAGATGGATAAAACCCAGAACTCAGTACAACGTGCTTTTGGTCCAAATTCAGGCTTGACTGCTCCTACGAGATCAAATGAGACTCAATTTCTCTCTTCCATCTGGCCAGATGGAATTGGCACAGGCTTCCCTCCTGCCTCCCAGGACACCACATCTTACAATGAGACCAGACTGGAGTTGCTGCATTTGCCTCACAGTTGAGGCTTCTGTTGCTCCTGAACATCTTTGCAGAGAGCTTTGGCTTAGTCTTTCTGTGCTCTCCTTCTCTTGTTTGCAGCAGTTTCGCTGATGTTTTCTAGGTCCTTACTCTCCTATTGCCTCCTGATTTTCTACAAACCCATCAGTCCTCTGCTCTCCTGCATTCAACCTTCTGCAATTTGTGCAATCAGGGATAATCATCCATGTTCTCAATGCTCCTGAACTAATCTTTCTGCTCCCTGTGGACTTGAGGAGCCACTGTGGGCCCAGGCCTGTGTTCTGCTGCTGCCCTGTGAGCTCTTGGCTCTTCACTGCCCTTTGGATGCAAGCAGGAATTTTAATCTTTGCTCAATCAACGTCAAGAAAGGCATCATTTACCCTCACCCTGCCCTAGCTGGGATTCGAGGGCTCTGCATTCATGAGGAGTCCAGGTCTGCAGTTTAGGAAATAGTCCATTTTACTGGGAAGCACAGTTTTCAAAATGAGACATGGGCCTCCGAGCCTGCTCTGTGTCCCCTTCCCTTTTTAAGTTTAATTCTAAATTGGCAATAAGTGTGTCCCAACTGGGGGCTGAGTCCTGGACAGAATGACTCCAACAGACTCAGAAGTTCCTGTCTGGACAGAGGAAAACTCAGAGGAATGAAGGAGAAGAGAGACACGGTTTTCCTGACTCCCCGGCGTGTCAGGATGCTGCACAGCCACCCATTCACGGGAACTTAATGGTGGACAGAGGAATATTTAATTTATGTTTTGGATAAACTCTTGGACAGACACTTTTCCGTCCTGGAAAGAATCCAGCCCCTGTTTCTTCTCCCCTTCATCTCTCGTCATCCTCCCCTGGCTGCCCCTCCCGGCCGCACAGACACGCTCTCCTTTCAGAGAGTTACTGACCAGAAAATTGGCGAGGGCAGGAGCCCGGGGGGGAGGATAATCCCGCTGCGAGGCTTCCAGCCCGCGCTTACCTCCGGCTGACCCCGGGCTGGCACGGGCAGGGAAGGCAGGTGGAATGGGAAAGCAATCCCTGCCGCCCCAGGCTGCTGGAGGCAGCAGGGCAGGATTCCTGCCACTGGACACAGGGAAGAAGAGATTTATGATGACAGAGGAACTCAACACGCCCTCCTCTTAATGAACTTTAAAGTAGGCGAGGGCTGTGACATCACACTCGGTGCAGATTTTTTCCCAGGATTTATTCATGAGCGGATTTTTGCAAAACAAACCTTATCTCCAGATCTGAGTCACAGAGCTCCTTATCTGACCTTGGGAAAATCGTTTCAGCTGGAGGGGCAGGCGCAGCATCCTCCGCTCCCAGAGGACTCGTTTAACTCCGGGCTTAATCTGCTAATGAGACGTGCCCCGAGGTCGGAGGGGAGTCCCGGGAAGGGTTTTGCCGCTGACGGGCTAAGGCAAGGCTTTCTAACAGAGACCTGCGTTCCAAAAGCCCCAGTCCCGACTGCAGGGCCAAATCCCGACTTTCACCATAACACCAGTGAGTAAGAGTTATGCTTCTGACCACCGCAAAATCAGATAAAGCCACTAATTTATATAAACTGGTCTACATTGAAGCTGCTGTCAACCACAAAATACACACGCCATCAGTGCCTCCAGAGGCTGAAGTGCATTACTGTGCAGGACACGAGATTAGAGCTAATTTTACATTCTTTACAAGGCCAGTTAACTTGTTTGGTCCGATTTTATTGCTAGCACAATTCAAGAGCAGCAGCAAAGCAATGTTGCCCTTTTATATTGTCAGTTGTTTTGGCACTGTATCTTCAGCAAACCTGCTGTGCTACAATTCATCCCTCCAGTGAGCTGGACCAGTGCTGAAAAGGTGTCCCACCACCACAGCATTTCTGAGACTGAACATGTGCCATTCCTTAGCACTCCCCTTGGGTTGTTTGGGTTGTGTTTGTCACCCTTAGGCTTTCCCAACACAAGGTGTGC